ATGCTTCTTCCATTCTTCACAGTGTGGAATAATAAACTTTAAATTCCTAAGCAAAAAAAGCCTGAAAGGCAGGAAAAAGAGAAAGAGGGAAAGTTAAAAAGATGACACCAGATTAAGCACATGTCAGTAATTTGGGAACTATATTAATTAATAGAATATTTAATAATTTCCAAAGTCATCATTACAAACCTAGAAAATTTAGAGGTAGGGTTTCTGGATTTTTTTTTTAAACCTGTGTATTACAGCTAAGCATTTTACCCTAATTGCTTTGTAATTTGACATGCAATCACTTAAAAGTGGCAGCTGAAGTGAATTCACTAACAACTGAAAGCTAAAGCATGCCCAGATGAGAGCTCCAGACAGGCAGAACTTCAATTCAGCAACTTTGTATAGGCAATAGAGCTGTAACATAAAGTCAGCAGGAAAGAAAAGGTTGTGAAAAAGACCTGGCTGAAATATCTCAGATTAACGTTCAAGGCAGTTCTTTTACTTTGACAGCTTTTAGTTTCTTGGTATGGTTTCTGGTTTTAATTTCTTCTTTTAGTTTGGGTGTCCTAATTTTCCAGTGAAGAAATTGCCCTTTGCACAATTATTTTAACCTCTGTGAATGTTTATTACCTTTGATTCATTATTTTGTTGCTATGGATTTTAACCTTGAAGTGCCACAAGAACAGCATGGAAATTTTCCTTCCTTCTCTTGATGAATAGAAAGGTACATGACATAAATTCTGTAGGTACAAATTTCCTATTCAGGATGCGTGAGGGAACATGGTCTTTGACATGGTTCTATGCAACAACACAACTCTGTAAGATCATTGATAGCCAAGGAAAATCCAGTGGCATTTGTGAGTGACTGGAAAATCAACAAAAAAATCTGATCCAGCAGTTGATTCTAACATGGTTATGATCATTTTACTAAATGTGTGGTTGGTTCTTGCCTTTATTTCCTATAAACCACAATGGGACTAGAGCTATTGCTGATTCTGTAGCCCATGCTTGTGTAACCTTTAAGTTATACTACTCTAATGTTTTATTTTATGACCTTCCTATAAAATTCTGCAAAACTCCAGTAGATGCAAGATATTGCAACCTGAATATCAACTTGCAATAAGGTGACTGAACATGTTAAGTGAGTTGAAAGAAAACTGTATTAGTTCTTTTCATCTAGTTGATTTTGCCATTAGGAACACAAAGTATTTGGTATCGCTACATGTGGGATGCAAACATCATGTTATGAACTTTGCCATTAGTAGAGATCATCCAAGGTATTCTTCTAGCTCTGAAATTTGAATTTAAAGAGGAGCAGAGGTTTAAAATTGTTTTTTTTGTCCTGAGTACAGGTCACTTTTGGCCAATAACTGAATCTATTGAATTAACAGGCTATTGTACATTCAGAATTGAGAGGTGAATTATGATGTTTGTTTCTTTGTATAATCTATTATTGTAAATCTCCCTGTGAACTATTATTCTGAAGGTTTTATGCAATGGTTATGAAAGACTGAGTGATGAGACTTATTAATGTTGGTTTTAAGTTATATAGCACTTTGTTTCAAAATTATTTAAAATTGTTTTTACATAATATCATCCTGTCCGTGGAAGAACCAACAAGCACCAAGGTGTCAGTTACCATCACCAAATTTTAGGGTTAGGAAATGGAGTGAGGATTGTAACCCCTTTGGGACTACCAAAATCTGGGTTTACCCATGGCCCAGCACTCTGCTGCTGCAATTAATTTCTGTCACCCTCTGCATGTCATGAAAAAAACATAAGGCTGGGTGCTGGACTTGAGCCTTCCTCCAAACCTGCCCACAAGCCACATGACAGGCAAATGTGTTGGGGAGGCAGCCCCCAGGTTCATCAGCTCCTGCTGAGGAGCAAAAATGTCTTTTTAAGTACCAGAAGCATGAAGATACTCTTACACACTGTGAAGTATCTTTCCTCCTTTTTGATGCTATGTTTTCTTCTTGACTGTTACTGTCTTCATGTCAACCAACTTTGAACTCTTCATTATGAAAAACCAGCATTTTCTTCTGTCAGTGTGTCTCTGGTTTGCAGAAGGCAGTAAATTCCAAATTTTTCACTTGTGAGGCTAAGTGAAACCATTAAAGCTTTACCCTTCACTTATTCCCAGCAAGGCACCATTAGAGATGATGTTAGAATTAAGCTAATAAATAAGTGGGGGAAATATCTTGACAATAGAAAGATAAAGGCAGTGACTTTGAGCAGGGTCTGATTTGGATCCTGGCTTCTGTAAATTCTTGCTGCAGCTGCTCTTGCAGCTGCATTATTTCAACATCTATCTGAACAATGCTATGTAATAGCCTCGTTACAGAGGGTCTAAAAAGCTAACAGAATCCTAAAATCTTCAGACTTTTTATAAAATTTCCATCCTGAAACACCATATTTAAACTATTTTTCAATGTTTGAATTTAAATGGGCACAATTAGAGTTGATTTTTATTTTGGTTTTCAACTGGTAGTTATTACATTGAGCAAGTGCTCCTCACGGTCACGGTCCTGCAAACGCACACATGCAGCATCTTAATTTTATAGGAGTGAGTAGTCTTACTGAGTCACATAACATTAGACATGCAAACAAGCAGTTGCAGAGCTAGGGTTTATATTTATAATGAAGAAATATGGACTGCAGCAAAACATTTTACATTGATTTTTCTTTCAAAACAACAACAATACATGGAGTTTGCTCATTGTTGGCCTTACTTACCATTTCAATCAGTTGGTCAAACCTCAAATGTATTTGCTAGAGCAAAGATAAACTGATGCAAAACACTTCAAAGGGCTCACTTTTACATGTGTCTGGAGATTAAAGTTTGTCAGAGGTCATATTTGAATATTATTAGCACAGTATTTAATCCATATTTCCTAAATAGTTTTGCAAGTTTATTTATGGATGTTCTGGCACTACCACCAATTTTCTCAGATACAGTTAATGACCTTTTAAGGAGCAGGCACCACAAAGGGAACGTACATATTGAAATACTTAATTTACTGATTCTATGGCAGTATGGCCACCCTGAAATACAACAGACCTCATCTTATTTAGCAGGCCGCTGACAACTCAGCTTCTAGAAGGTATGCAATTAGATGACAGTTGCAATGTTATTTTGAAATAATTTCTCTAGCCTTCATGGCTGCAGGAAAAGGCTTGGAAAAATAACTCGCATATCATGGAAAGGCTCAGGAAATAAAATGAAAGAAGTCAAAGAATGTGTTTGTAAAAATAACAACCAAAAAAACCCAAACCCTTTTCCCTTTACCCCCTGTTTTTATCAAGTGCTCCTGGTTGCCTGCCTGAGGATGTTAAATGTGTAAAGTTAGCAAGACTGAATGACAGAGGGAGGTTTTTATTAGTAAAGTTAGGTTACTGGCTGTAATAAGAGCAAGTTTTGGTGCTTTTTTTTCATTCTAATTATACTTTACATGCATCTTTCTGTAAGTGTGGGTAGGTCATGAGATGTCTGTGCCTCATGGACCTATAAGACTTTGCTTCTTTTGAGTACCACATGATCAACTTGCTAATATCTGTGAAACATAAAGGAATTAGAATGATGAATGTCCTATAAATAAATAAATGTATCTCTATTCATTAGCTAGGAAAGCTCTGTTTTGTTTCAAGAAGTGATTACTAAAAACACTTTACCATGTATTTTATCAGCAAACAAGATGGCATTAAGTGGCAGTATGTTAAAATTAGTTGTCTTCCATTCTTTTAACTTTACTGGAAAAAAGTTACATTTTCTTTTCAGATTGTATTTGCCCAAGTATAAAACAGATGCATTTAGATAAATAGATTGGAACATATTATTAAATTAAATGAAGAAAAGGAGATATAATGAAATAACATCCAAGTATCAGAAAAAAATAATTCTTTTCACAGGCTTGGAGTGGAAATCTAATGTTCCTTCTCTACTTTATCCTGCTATGAGGATGACAGGTATTCTATCATCTTCCAAAGTACCATCTGAGATGCCTCTTCTGATCTGAACAAGAATGGGTGTCCATTCATGGAGAACCAATTTCAAAATCCAGTTCAATGTATTAAATCTATTTCTACATTGAGCACATTGTTTGTGCTTAGTACATTTATTACTATTATTACAATAAAATTAAATGGTGCCATCTGAGATCAGGTTTCTATTATACTTCTACGTATTCATTGTAAAAGACATTTTTAAAGACTTAACCTTTGTGGTAAAATGGGGATATGGGAATGAGGCACAGAGCAATAGATCCCGGGGACATACAGGTAACCCACGGCAGATTATCTTCTCACTTTCAGGGTTGCTGCCGTTGCCTTTCCTAAGTCCCATTACAAAATGGCACTGAGCCAGCTCAGCACAACTGTAGTTGCCTAGGGAGCGCTTGAAGAATGCCTCTATTGGGGATGTACTTGGGAAGTGAAACACTGGCTAAGTCAAGGCTCTTGAGCTTGTTGGAGCATGTGAGTACAAGCACCCAAAGGTTTGCATGACTGTCCCTGATGCAGTCAGTCCTAAATGCTTTACAACATGCCCCAGCTTAGTAATTCCAGCTCAGCTCTTCTTCACCTTCTTGTGAATACCTTCAGCCCAGTGTTTTGGAAACAAGAAACTGAACCTGCTCAAAGGTGTCTTACTTGTATATAATACCAGAAAGGAAATCTATATCCCCACAACTCTTCTGCCACTTGCATCTCAGATGACTGAATGTAAGCAGAGGTGTATTCCCATCCTGAACCACTGAAGGAGGTAGATTTATGCTCATCAGGACCTGAGCTCCACTTATGTACGTGATAAAAGAAAAAAAAGTTCTAAAATAGGTTTAGAAAAGGGTTTTAAGGAAGGTCCTTATTAATGTGTCAAAAGACTAAATTGCTGAGCACACATCAGAGCAACTTGTTAACCTTACTTTCTAAAGAAATTCTGCAAATGAAATTAAAAAATGCAGTTAAATATGAAGTCTCTGCTGCTTCTAACTCAGACAAAAACCTTCTAATTGCAGGCCTCAGGACAGAGCTGGTGGAAGAAGACGCACTGGAGTTATGATCACAATTTGGAATACCACAAGGGTTCAACAAGCACTTCGAAGTAGACTAGAAAATGATGGGACTCACAGAAAACAGTCCCATTTCAGTGCCAAGCTATTCTCTTAGGCAGTGAGTGCTAAAGAATCCCATGACCATTGGGAAACAAGTGAATAAGGAACACAAAGCAAAATCTTCACAGTTAATCAAGTAAGCAAGATACAAAATCTCAGACCAGATGTGCCATATTGCAAAAAATGGTTGTTTTGCAGAGAAATGACTAAACTTACTTTCAGGCTAGGATATTTTTGTTTGTTTTCACCTCTTCAGTAGCTTAAATCTTATTATTTCTTCTACATATTTGCCTCCCCAGGTGCCACTTAGATATGGCATCTAAATTTCTGTACTTTAGCTATGCAGTTGAGGTGAAACCAGGCAAATGAACCATTGCCTCCCATCCACACCTCCTGACCTGCTGGATGTGCAGAATTGTGGGGAAAATTGCAGCAAGGCTAAAGCAACAAAATGGGGGAGAGAAATAAAATGGAAATGGTTAGGGATTCAGTATTAGGGAGAAGCATTGAAGATCTAAGGAGGAAATAGAGAAATACCAAAAAATAATAAGAGTGTAAAACAAGAATGATGAGTAGAACTAATGAAACCAAGTTGCCTGGACCTAGGCTAGGCTGTTTTCTAACAGCATACAAGCTCTGATTGAAGCATTCCCTGAAGAGAGAGTATTCACAGTGTCTCTCCCTCATGTGAATTTTCCTAGTGTTTATTCAGTGGGTTGTTGATGATGCAGTAATTTGGAGATAGGATCCAGAGAGATCTAAATAAACAATAATTAAGTCTTTTCCCCTCAGAAAACCAAATGCTGTAGTCAGAATGAAATAGGAAGGAAGGAAGATGCAAAATGGAAACAAAATTGAAATAAAAAAGGGAAGACCTTTCTCCACCTAAATGTTCAAGATTATTATTTTTTTCTTTTTAGCTTAATTTTCTAATGGGAGAGGAAAAAAACCTCTGGATGGAGAGAGACAGGAGAACAGTTGAGACAAGTGCTTAAAAAAATCCATATAGATAGATGAGATCCCCAAGTGGAGGTGGCCAAAAAATAGATGCTGCTACTAGGTGGTAGAAAGAAAAAAGGGATTTGGGGTAGGTGGGAGCAGAGATGACTGGAAGAAATGCATTGCAGTATCTGGAGATTGCCAAGACTTTAAATTTGAGTGAGGTGAAGAAAATGAAATGCTGCCCCCTTGATAGTCCCCACTCCCTTAAACATGAACAGAGGAGATGTGGAATTCCTCTGTGAGGGCCAGGAGCCCTCCTTTCCCTCTCAGGACTGTCCTCACTGTGCATACCAAAGTTACAGCCAGCTCAGGAAAAGCAAACTATTAATATCCTGTTATTCCTCAAAGGGAAGCATTCCATATGTGATAACCCAGGTCCCACCTAGAAACAGGCAGCTTTCTCACCAGTCAGCTCTCTCCAGCTCTCTCCCTTGGCTCTCTCCCTCCAGCTGCCAAGCAGAATGTTCAAAAGACAACATTCCAGGTGTCCTAGGAGACCCCACCAGCTGGTGCCCCGCCCTTCCCCTGTTCTAACTGCCTGCTGTCCCTGGCACCCCTGTGTCTTCACCAGCCTGTGTTCCTCCGTGGTTCTGGTTTTTACTACATCCTTACCACCCAAAATCACCAGCATCTCTGTGTCCCCACCACCTAGTGTCCCTTGCAACAGGGGGAGTGCCAGTGTACCCCATGTCCCCAGCATCTCCACATGCCCATCACTCCTCATCCCCAGCCACCACACTGCCTGCCACTACCCCTCCACCCACAAGGTGAGCCACGGCTTGGCTAGGCCATGACTTGGTGTCTAAAAAAAAGCTTTTTTTTTTTTTCTTTGTCAAATCTGTGCTATAAATGAAACTTCCTAGGACTCATTTAAGTGTCAGGTCTGTCCCACCCAACTTGCATAATTTTTGATGCATGACATCTCTGTATGGGTAACAAATTTGAAGCTCATTATAAATTTTGTTGAGGTTACCTAGTTGGCAATCAAGTTCTGATCAATTTTTTAAAGTATTTTAACAATGTGCATTTTAGTATAACAGGAGTGTGAAACAAAAAGAGAAGTGAGAATTACAAAAAGTGAAGTAATCAGCAGGCTTATTGGAGACACTGTCAGGTTGCTCATGTCCCCTGATTTAAGTTAAAAAAAATAAAATAAATACTAGTGCAGATGGATTGCTTATAAGATGTATTCAAAGTTGCCAGTCCAAACAACATAATTTTTAAGGCTAAGAATTCCCTATACAGCAATGTTTGAACTGAATGCTTTTTATGGATACGATTAGTTCATATAGTTGTGTGATTATGCACGTGGGATCTGATTCACAGGATTGCTTTTTTCTTCCTTGACAAAGGGTAAATGTAAGAAAAAGCCTAAAAAATTTGTGCTGGATAAAAATATTCAGGAAAAGTAAAACTTCAGGTTTAGAAAAGTCACATCAGGAGAAAATATAGAATTTTTAGATCTTTGAAATTTCTACTGTGCAGAGACATTTAGTCTTTAAGGCTAATAAAATAAATTAAGAGTCCAGTGACATACAAGAGTGGGTTTTTTCTCTGCTCTCTGACTACATATCAGTTGGTCTTCTAGGCAGAAGAATTGTCTTGCTGACTACATCAAAGATTCCTTCCTAGGAACAGACCTTAAAAAAAATTAAGTAGGACTACTTGAAAAAAGAGATTTTGTTTCTTCCCTAAAAAATATAGATCCCTGCATTTTTTCTTTTTCCTGAAAATAAGCAAGGAAAGAAAGTAGTTGTGTTTGATTAAAATTTGACTAGTCTGAGAAACAGACTGACGTCTCCATAAGACACAGACCAAGGAGGGTGTTCAAATTAAATACAAGGGCAAGAGATGTTGAGACCACAGCTTTCATGAGACATTGAAACAAAGTTCTCAAATCAAAATGCTTTACTTTTTGTCTCCAAAATGGCTTGTTTTAAATGTTTTCATGAAAAATTGCAGGTAGTCAAAGGCAGGCAGGGGAGGGCTTTGGAGTGTAGCTGGGACAAATGGCAAGACACTGACTTCCAGCATGGGCAGCCTTTGGACAGGAGCAGTCATGGGCCTTGTGACTCACACTGCTGCTATGTGCCTCTGACAGCAGCAGAGAAAATGCACATTAGCATCACATACTTTTCCACATTTTTTCTGGTCAAAAGCTGGGCTGCTACACCATTTATTGAAAGTATGTTCTAGGATGACTACATGGCTCTTCCACCTTTGAAGAGATGCAATGCAACATTCATGTGTTCAAAGGTAAATATGCATATGGCCATTGTTCATTTTGAGAGATTCTGGAAATAAGTGGTAAAGGACCACAGGAGAAGTCAGTGCTTGGAAAACTAGAGAAAATGTAGTGCACAGGGAGAGTCACAAATGTTTCCTACCAATCTGTTTGTTTGGTTTTAATTTATAACTTTCAATTTCCCATTGATAACTGGGTTAACTTTTGCTAGAGGATTTCCATGCAGGTACTTGTAAGCTAGAGATCATACAGTAATGGCAGCTTTTGTTTGCACTAGAAGCGATCTGGAAAACCACTGTTAAATCCTTGGGGAAGCAGTTGCCTCACTGGTAGCTATGCCCTTCATAAAACATAGGCTCTTGCATTATTGGTAGATTTGTATGTTCCCATATCCAATAACTCTGAGTAAATGGTGTGTTTAAAACATCTGTCATAGCATTAAGAAAAGGTTTCTGCCATGCTGTGGTGATGGAGAATATTTTGTGACATGCTGGAATCGGATCCCTTTATTGTGAACATACCCTCTGGCTTTGGATACCCTTATGCTTACTTCCTGCAAAACACATTAATTTTGGAGGCTTATTTGTTTTAATACCTGTAACTGCCTACACCAGTCCCGAGAAAGGGTGAAGCTGTGATATGTTGGCACATTAGTCTAAAAATCAGGATAATGCAAGACTGTGATGAAAATGAGGAGTACTACTAACGCTTGAGCCAGTGCTGGGGTAGGAGAAGCAAAGGGGAAAACATGAACTTCAGTCTCTGTAACTGTTTAAAATATAATGATAAAAACTACTAACCGAAAGTTGGAGGAATTTAGTTGTTAATGTAGCCAGGGTCCTGCTCCTCCCCCCCCTGCAAATTTTAAAAAAATTACTTTTAATATTACCTAGACATTAATGTTTTAGTTTGAGTACTATTCATGCTCCATAACTGCTTTTCATTAATGTTTTAATGGGTCCAGGCCCAATTCCACTGAGGTCAATTAGAAGATTCCAAATAAATCTTTACTTCCCCTTCTCACATTACTGTGCAGCTTGTAAGAGGGCTGACACTGGTCTGTGCTTTTATTTTAAAGCAATTCAAAAGATGATTTTCCAGTGGGAAGAACTATTGCTGTATAATTTGTGGCTGGTACTTAAACTGATGTTACCCACATAAAAGCACTTATGTCATTTTGTCTTGTGTTGTCCGGAATCAGGTTCAGAGTAGCTCGGAAGTGCATTTCAACATGTTCTTTCTGCAAATATTGCAGATAAATAAAGTGGTATATTAAGATAAAATATGTTCAGTTTTATTTATGAATTAACTTCTTGCCTGTGAATATCTAACTTTAATGAAATTCATTTTAAATAGACCTCAAACTTTAAATAACTAAAAACATCTTTCTTCACAAGAATATAGTAGGTCTTTGGCCTGATATGCCATAAAAAAAAATGGAGGGTGAGCTATAAAATACCTTGGGAAATACTGATTTTTTTTTTTCTTCATATTATGTATGGCTAACTGGATAAATACTACTATGGTTTGGTGCAGAAGCCCAAGTTAAAATTTCTGTTGTATCTCTGAAGTTCCAGTGTGGTCTGGGGCAAATAATTTACTGAATAGAGCACTAAGACTTCATGCTATACATGCATGTTTCTGAACCCCAGAGCTTTAGCTTTAATGATAACTACTTTGAAAATATTCCTTTAATGCTCTTTAAGTGTAATTTTTAAAAGTACTTTCTGGCATACTTTAACTGCAGAGCTTCACATTTATCTAGGATGTTTTAAGAAACCAGAAATGATTTCTGGTATTTGAAACCAAGCTTGATATTGTGCTGAAAACACAGTTCTCACAGAGACTTTTCAGCTGAATTAGTTACAATTCAATCAAGCTGTGGCAAGTGGGACAAGAAACATCTGGTGATAACCTTGGCTGATTTTACTGCAGACTGCATTCATGTGTCTGAAGAGTTTTCTGTTCATACTGATATAGTAATTTTCTTATTTTTCAATTCATATACTTGTGATGACTTTGGCCATCTTGATGAAAGTAATCCCACAGTTAGCTCAAGGACTTTGCAACTGTTAGCTTTCAGTGAGAAACTACTCGCGAACTCATTATATGTTTATTGTCTAAGACTCCTTGTAATAGGAAATCTGTTTTGTACATTAGCAATGTACATCATTAGCTTTGTATAATCCAACTGAAATTATTAGACGCACATCTTCCTCCAAGAAGAGAACTTGAAACAATGCAACAAATCAAATAAGAAATCAAGCTGTGCTATTCTTTTCATTGTCTCCTAGTTATATTATCTGTGTATGCATATATGTACTGACGAAATTTAATGGCTAAATAGCTTCGAGATAATTCTAGCTTTTTGAAAGTAAATACAAAATCATCATTCTGTGAAGCTGAACCAACCATACAGCACTGGGAAAAATCCACATATGCCAAATATATCGCTATATTGCCTTTTTTATTGTCAGCTGCCCTGTGCATAAGCCAGATGTCACCCCTGCATCCTGGTAGTGTTGTCTGTCCACTCTTGATAAGGAGTAAAGGACGGAAAAATATGCAGAGCAAATAAAAGCCAAGCTGCTTTAAATGCTGAAGTTCTCTGAGTGCCAAAATACTTTTGGTATTTTAAATTTTATAAACATACAGCTTTCAGATTATCTGAAAATTGAAAACAAAGAGCAATCATTCATACAAACATACTAAATCCCTTTGAAATTTTTAATAAAATAAAAAATTCTGACATTTGCTGGAAGAAATATTTTTAGTTGATAGGGCCTCATGGACAATAAGGGACAGCTTCGTCATAGTGCTCCTTTTTTCTGCAACTGTACCCTTGCATCCACTTCTTCTGAAGCATGAAAACATCCTGAGTTGAGCAGATTCCAGCTGCAGCATCAATGGACACTTTGCAAAGAAGGAATTCCGTGACATGGGTCCCTTTGGGACATATGTCTGGCCTCTCTGCTTTTTTTGTGCATAGCAGGTTTACAACAGTGAAGTTATTCCATAGTGGCTGGAGCTCAGCTTTGGCCTCCCCATGATGGTTTCCTCCCAGCACCCCACGCACAAGTCAGTGTAGAATTGATTCACTATGTGTGTGTTTTTACAGCTTATCTGCTGCATTTATCTTTCTTCCCTGGCACAAAAAATAGCAGCTGGGGTTCTGCAGAGGCACCAGTTTGGATGGAATAGGTTCTAAAAGACTATAAAAAAATATTACTACCTGTTTGCAATAAGTGGCACACATAGCATTCTTTGTGCTTTCCAAAG